TCAAAGTTCACATGCTGCACACGACTGAAAGCTAAATTTACTTTAAACTTGGGATTCCTCTAAACAAACATGTTTCAGGAAGCCAAGTCAGCTTACTTCCATTCGTAAATTTAGGATATGCACAATAATTAATGGGTGGCGCATTTCATAACTTACCATAGTTGGATTAGCATTTTCGATGAGTGGCGCAGCCTCTATATTTGCATGGTAGGAGATATGTAGATTAGCCAAGTCTAATGTCTGGGGGAAAGAAATAATTTATATGGGTAATTAGGCCAGTTAGGATCGGATAGCATGCATCATGTCACAGTTTAGAAGCAATCCGTCTAATAAAATATTGGCTAAGTGAAGCCTGAAGGCCCAATAGAATACAGTCATGTCTTTGTCTTTGTATAAATAATAAAATAGGAGAGATACAGCCTAAATCGTTATTGAAGGAATGGATCAGGCGAGAGGCGTATTAGATAAGGTATCTTGCGCTGCAGGAGAAAACCAAAAAATGAGGTAAGCTCATGGGTATGAAATCAAATAGGAGTTATTTGCATTCAAGATTAAGAATTTGCAAGAAAAATAAAAATGTATAGTAATTAGATAAAAATGGCTATCAATGCTTGTCAGAGAGTGGAGAAGCATGAAGTTCTGTCTGCTGGCAATGACAGGTAGTAATCGCCCTATAAACCGATATTTACGAGGTTTGTAAAAAGTGAATGCTAATTTATGAACCAATTGGCTGGTAAAATCATTGTAAAAAGTGCTAAAGAAAATTTAAGTCATCCTAAATTTTAAATACTACATGTTCGCTTCGGATCTTTTATGATAGAGATGGCGATCCCAAAAAAAAATTAAAAATAATTTATTGGAAGAGTTAAACAAATGTTTATATGCGAAAAAAGCAAAGAGACTAAGCAAAGAAAGCTTTTAGGAGAAAAATAACCCGAGGCAAACGTCTGTCAGTTCATCCATTAATCTAGAAAATAAGAGCCATACTTTATGATGATACAGAGGAAAGTTGCAGTGTAGGTATCATGATAATGGAGCAATCACTAAGACCTTGAGATATTTAGAAATACACACCAAATGAATGGCCCATCGCCTAACTCGTTAAAAAAACATTGATGAGAAAATATGGACTAGGCTACTGGAGACGTGATTTATAAGGTGATCCTATATTAGATAACAATACTGGCGGAGAAAGATAAATAGACAAACGTAATCCTTTAAATATAATGTGATTGATGTGATCCTATAAGCACGACCATTCTTAATTGTGCTGACCCTTAGAAGGTAACATGCAAGCTCAATGACATTAATCCCTATCCTCGTGCCTATAGGGCAAACAACCCGAAGGTGCCGTCTCATAACGGAATTTACAATGGCCATTTCAGGACTCAAAAATTAGTTTTAAGAGGAATAGCAAATATTTTGGCCTTTCTCAAATTAAAATGAGATTTAGCATAAGTCCGCGCCATGTCATCACGCAGCATGGCAGGAAGTGTCTACACTATATCTGTCAACATTTTTAGCAAGGGACTAGTTACCTAGATTGCTTAAGCTCTTACTCAAGAATTACCGAGGATCCAGAAACATACCAACATCAAAAAAATCTGCATCTTAGCAATGTTATCTTGATCTCCAAGGGGCAGGATTGTGGTTATCAAGCATCGTAATAAGAGTTCAAGACATCTAATCAGCTTCCGCCTTCTTTTTCAGGATCTCCATCAAAAGACTTAAATTTGTTTACAAAAAAGCAGAGGCTAAAGACATTCAGGATTCAAGAGATCCATAAATATGAAGTCGCATAAACGTCTTAGTAAAATACTGTCGGCTTAGTTTTACTGTGAAAAATATAATGGATTTTATGAAACATAATATTACACTAATCAGCAAAATCTAACCTAGGAATTAAATAAACGTTGTTCAGTGATTTAAGAGAAGTGGCTTTAAAAAATACTATCATTTGATTGAACACTATAAAAAGCCTTAGCTACTAATAAATATTAAATATTCATCAACATCACCAAAATGGGCTGAGCAGTTCTAGTGATCCAATAAACAATTAGTATTAGGCATCTTCTGACTATAGCCTCCTGACCATATATTAATATGAGTAACATTATTTGAACTGGCGGATTGGATAAAATAAATAATGGTAGAGTTCAAAAGGCTTTATGGAATACAAGGGCTACCTTCGGCTACAACCCTACGATATACTTTACCTTAGAGATACAACATAAAAATTAGTTTCATAATGCCAAAAAAGATAATAAGATTGAGGTGAAAACCGGGACTTAATGAAAAATAATTAATACGGGATAAAGTGCAATAGTCCTTGTATACCTATCCTAAATATTCAAGAAATCAAATAGGAAAAAAAGGTAATTTCAAACATGACTTCAAAAGAGAGAAGTGCTCACCTCAACATCATCTTGAGTCTCCATATCGAGGAGATGAAGTATTTCGCTGCAATCAATGAGCATCAAATGGTTCAAGGGTGTCCACTTGAGAAATAGAGATAATGCAAAAGGAAAATAATCGAATGTGCTAGACCTAATGAAAAATTGAATAAGGAAACATGCCGAATTTATTGACAATGACAGAAAGCTTATAAATTATCATAATCATTCAGAACCAAAGGATATAATTAGAATTGGTGAAAAATAACGTTGGAGTTATGACAGCAGGTCTACCGATAATTCAGATTCCTTATTTGTGAACTTATAGCGGTATAAACCGACTATTTGATTCAGAAGTTCAGGTTCAAGAGGAGTATCATAGAAGGATAAATTAATAAAAAGAAAAGTAGAGCAAAAAATAGAGGCAAGGAATTATGCCACAACGGTTGAACAGAAAATTGCCTTCACTTATCATTTTAATAAGTTGCAACAATGTGCTGACGATGGCACCCTTCACTGACGATGCCGGCGAAGCGTTTGGGAATTTACCAAGTAAATTATCCGAAGCTGGAAATTAGGAATACTATGACAGAGGCACCAATAAGCTAAACTTTCAGTATAATTTTTTGGTTTAAAGTGTAGTTGGAGTAACAAAGCTAAAGTGGTTACCTCTACTTTGAGTGAAAATATTAACAAAATACCTATGATGTGCATCCAGGATAGACTACTACCCATGCATACCTAAAACATTTCAAAAATGTTCCTTAATGAGAAGCGAGCCATTTGATTAGCATACAATAAAAAGAAGGCTATGAAACGTAAAGACTAGCAAAAACTTGGCATTGTAACAGAGTATGAAATGGCCTATATGGAGGTTTAATTAATAGCGTTCAATTTAATAATGTGACTTCTAAAGACCATACAAGTCTTTAATTCACCTCACAAGTTTCGCCATACATAATTTAACAATAAATATTTTGAAAGAGTTGGCATCACGTTTGATGAGA